CATACTTCAGTGGTATCATTGAATATTTTTATTGTGCTTTTGTGTATATGTATCGTGATTGGTCATCTTTTGGAGGAAAATCGGTGGATGAATGAATCCATTACGGCTCTCATTATTGTAAGTCCATCTTCCTGTTTATTTGTCTATGATTCATGTAGAACATATGATTGTGTGCAAGTATTAGCAAGTTGAATTTCATACGTGTGACATAGAAGTATTAGTTTTGTGAGTGGTGTAAATCAATACTTTTTTAGCTTTTATTTATGTGCTTTTGGTATTAAGTAAAATGTTGGGCTGCTTGGATGACAGGGTGTATGCACTGGAGTCGTAATTCTACTAATTAGTGGAGGAACAAGCTCGCATCTGTTGGTTTTCAGTGAAGATCTTTTCTTTATTTATTTGCTTCCTCCGATCATTTTCAATGCTGGGTATGTAGTAAATTTACTGAACCATTTTCATACCTACGTGAATATAGGATTCTGAAAAGAGGAAAAAGTTCAAAAGAAAAAAATAACCTGAGATTCAGCATTATTAGGCCTTGGTTTTGCTGGGAGTATGAATTTTAGTAAATTAATTTGCTTAGATAGCAGGCAAATGACAAACTTAGCCAAAGTCTAGTTTCTTAAAGGGCGTTTTCTGCACAGGGCTGATTTGGGATCAATTTTCATTCCCCTTAATTATCAGGTTCCAGGTTAAAAAGAAGCAATTCTTTCGCAATTTCATTACTATAATGCTGTTTGGAGCACTTGGTACTTTGATATCCTTCGTCATCATATCCTTGGGTAAGCACTTGTTTTTGTTGCACTTTTTTTTTTCTTGGTTCCTTTATACATCAAGTTCCCATTGAGTTTTTTTCTTTCCCCCTTTGTTTCATGCAAGTGAAGCAGAAAGGATTACCTTGCAACTCATAGAACATTCAAATTTGTGAAGCAATAAGCTATTCTGTACACGAAATTATGCTCTCATAAGCTTTCTGATCTTCTCCTGGTCCCCCTTTTGTTCATGAATGTATGATGTACATTATATCTTTCCTAAGGAACAAAAAATGTGGAAGATTGAGACATGAGAATGTTTTACTCGTACAATAAATGACATTCTCGAACTTACTCTTCTTTGACAAATCTTCAATGACTTCAACTAGTCCTTTTTGTCTACTATAGCCATAATCAGCAATTGTCTTCCACTTAGTAACTAATTAGATTCTAATCTTGTATTATTACTTCATACCTTAAAATTATGTTTCATTGCTCCCGAGGTTCTTTTGTTTTTACCATTTAGGAAAAAGAACATGCATGAAAATATAACCAACTTCTCATAGCATGCTTGAGAATTATGTTTTCTTATGTCATGTTTATAATGCAAACAAACGTCTTTTTTTTTTTCCTTTTAAATGCGAACAAACATCTTGCAGTAAATATGAATTACAGATTCCATAATCAATATTTTATAGTTACTGCAATTACAATACTAATTTTAATGGCTTCTCTGTTGCTAAATATTGCTTTTTTGTGCAGGTGCTATTGGCTTTTTCAAGAACATGAATCTTGAACCTCTGAAAATAGGAGATTTTCTTGGTACCATCACCTATTTTCATTATTTTTTTTTATTTAATTACTCTCTTCCCTACCAATGCAACAATTAATGTGATTTTCTTTTTATTCATGACCTTATTTATGATTCCAGCAATTGGAGCAATCTTTTCAGCTACAGATTCTGTTTGCACTCTACAGGTAAGCAGGCATTTGCTAATTTAGAATGAAAAACTTTTTTGCATCTCTACAAGGCTGATGTTTATATCTGATTGGTGCAGGTTCTCAATCAGGATGAAACCCCCTTAGTTTACAGTCTGGTGTTTGGGGAAGGAGTTGTAAATGATGCCACATCAATTGTGCTCTTCAACGCGGTCCAGAACTTTGACTTGTCTCATGTCAACACTAGTGTGGCTTTAAAGTTGATTGGAAACTTCATCTATTTATTTATCACAAGTACTGTTCTTGGAGTTGTTGTGAGGCTCTATATCTTTCTTTGTTAGTGTGTGTGTTTAACTCTCTTGGTTGGCATCTGTACAAATTTAAGATATTCTCGATAACCTAGCTTTTGACAATACATTTGGCTTTAGGCTGGGCTGCTTAGCGCATTCATCATAAAGAAGCTCTACTTTGGCAGGTTGGTTAATAATTGCTTTAATGCTAGACTTGCTTCAGGAAAAGACCATGCTAGATAATTTCTTGCACCATTGACATTGCTGTATGAAATTTTTTAACATGTATGCATCATTTGCTTTCTTGTTTGCTGATTGTCTCCAGGCATTCGACTGATCGTGAGGTTGCTCTAATGATGCTGATGGCATACCTTTCGTACATGCTAGCTGAAGTAAGTTTCCTAAACAGCATATATTCCTCCATTGCTCTTGCAAATACAAATTCTTCTTTGTTTTCCTCTGGAGCTTGATTTGGGGATGTCAATTTTCCTTTGCAGTTATTTGACTTAAGTGCTATCCTCACTGTGTTTTTCTGTGGGATTGTGATGTCGCATTACACCTGGCATAATGTAACAGAGAGCTCAAGAATTACCACCAAGTATGTCATTCTTCGAAGAAAAGGAATCTTTTGGAATGAATTACTGGCTATTCTGTATTCTATCCGAAGAAAGCTACCGAGTCGCTGTTTTCTTCTGATGAAACCTTTCTATAATTGTTTTGTTTATCACTATTTTGCAGGCATGCTTTTGCAACATTGTCATTTGTTGCTGAAATTTTTATATTTCTGTATGTTGGTATGGATGCCCTGGACATTGATAAGTGGAAGATTGTAAGTGACAGGTATACTATCTATTTGACAGCTCACAAGTAAAATTAGTTATTATGACATATTTTCAATGATCATCCACATACAGTAGGATGTGATAAAACTTGAAGATTAAAGTGGTTGTGATTCATCTTTTCAGCCCCAAGACATCAATTAAAGTTAGCTCAATTCTACTGGGACTTGTTTTGTTGGGAAGAGCAGCTTTTGTCTTTCCTCTGTCACTTTTATCCAACTTGACCAAGAAGTCTCCAGAAGAGAAAATTCACTTCAAGCAGCAAGTATGAATTCAAAATTCTAGTTGAGAGTTCACACAGTCCTTAGCTTTTTTATCCTGTTTAATGATTATTTGATTGTGATATTACAGGTTACCATATGGTGGGCAGGTCTCATGCGTGGTGCTATTTCCATGGCCCTTGCTTATAACCAGGTTAGTTCAAAAAGTCTCCTCCAAGGGAAAGCTTTGATTTTCTTGGAATTTTATTGTCTCTTTAGCATGTGATGGTGAAGGGATGGGAGTCTATTTTATTAGTTGTCTGACAGACTTCATTGTTGCTAATCCGTGCAGTTCACAAGGGCAGGTTATACCAAACTTCCAGGGAATTCAATCATGATCACCAGTACAATAACAGTTGTTCTTTTTAGTACAGTGGTAAGAATCTTAAGTTTCTTGAGTGTCATACTGAATGTGAGTTGTATTCAGCACATGGAAATTGGAATGTGGCAGACACTACCATGGAGTAATCATATTGCACTCTTTGGGGAATTTCCCATCAACCCTATATGAACGGTGGTAGTGTGTTGGAAATTCTGTTTCTTCTTTGCTGCATTTTTGAACTGCATGTCCGCTTTTTGCAAATCATGTTTTGATAAAATCTTTGCCTAAAGATATTAAGTATTAAACATTTCACCTTCCTGTCATTGATTTTCATCAATGGTTGCGATGAAAGAACCTCATTAGCTAACCTGGTGTAGTGGCCATGGTCTCTGATTCTTGCATTTCCCCTTATGTGAACTTCGAGAAACTGAGACGTTATCATGTCGACAAACATCTACATTTCATTATATTCTGAGTATCAAAAGAAACATATATTTGCTGAAATCCATGTCCGTTGTCATTCAGTAACTATTTCCGGTATGTGCAGGTTTTTGGCTTGATGACTAAGCCTTTGATAAGGCTCTTGCTTCCCTCACCAAAGCACTTGAGCAGAATGATCTCTTCTGAGCCAGTAACCCCAAAATCCTTCATTGTACCTCTTCTCAATGGACAGGATTCAGAAGGTGATCCAGGTGCCCACGTGCCTCGTCCATCAAGCTTAAGGATGCTCATGACTGCTCCATCTCACACAGTGCATTATTACTGGAGAAAGTTTGACGATGCCTTCATGCGTCCTGTTTTTGGTGGAAGAGGTTTCGTGCCATATGTGCCAGGCTCACCAACTGAACAAAATGGCAATCAATTTCATTGAAGGGTAATATTGCAGAAAGGCCACCAAATTCACCAGTTTCCTCTAATGCAAGTCACTTTTTTGACCTCTTGATATTGTGTTTCGAGTGTTCTAGTGTTTCACTGTAGGGTTTTGTTCTAATTTATTATATAGTTTGCGAGGAGGGATTCTCCATTAGTTGTGGTCATCAGTCAAAATTTTGCCTATGGGGGCATTCGCTGACCCCAAAGTTTGTACATGAGAACTTCAAGAGGTTCTTTTGCCCGTCAACATATTTCTAGAACACCAGATCGGTGTATATTCCTTGAGAACTTGCCATCTCAACTTGCATGTATAATAGAAATTTTTGGCCGTTAATATATGTCAACAACAGCAGAGTGCATCTATCATACTTGTTCCTGGATTACAAATGTTGATTTACTTGTTCAAATCAAAGATGCTATTACTGCAATGCCATAGATTGTTTATCTCAAATTTGCATGTACTCGGTTACTGCAATGCCTAATGCAGCTTAATGCTGTTAAAGTTTGCAGTCTAACGAGCCTGACGTTTGGAACTGAGAAAATTGACATGAGCATATAAAGGATCACAATAAATTGACCTTCAATCATGCGATGTATGCATAGAAGGAAGTTTTCCAAGCATATCATCGATTAGGCAACTAAGCCAAACTTTCCCAAGTCAATCGGGAAGTGAACTGACTTCTACTTCACTGAGACAGGAATTGCCGTGGTGACAACGCTCCAAATGCGGGCAAACACATATTTTATTAAAAAGATAGCCTTTCTTTACAATTATTGCGACAAGTAAAAGTGCCAAGTTTCTTTCATTTCATAAAACTCTGCAGAGTTATACAAAGATGCCAAAGTAAACAAGGCTAAGGGCTAGTTAACAGAATCCTGAAAACCTAAACCTATGATATATCCTTTCTTTAAACCATGGCATCACTAATCCTGAAAATAACCTTCTTTTTAACCATGTAATAAGTATCCAACAGTCAGACTAATTAATGCAACCATGCAAACAAAGAGAGGAGGAAATCCCCGTTCAACCGTCCTCACACTAGTCTTCCTCCTCAAAGTTGCCTGCCAAATTTTAGAAAAAGAAATAAGATGCAATTCACATTTGTCTCATTTAAGTGGAAAAGATCAACGGCCAAATAGATGGACAAGGAATAAAATGGCCAAATAGATGGTACAATCTCCAAAGTTTCATCAACTTAAAACTGATTCAGCCGTAGCATGAAATAGTCCTTAGAAGCCCTTCCCCTCCCAGGAAACCCCCCAACCCCCCCCACCCCCCCCCCCCCAAAAAAAACAAAAAAAAAAAGAAAGAAAGAAAGAAAGAATAAAGGAGAAGAAGCAGAGAGAAAAAGCGAAGGCATCTTTAAGGCATCACTCACCAATTCTCGCTTTAATGTTTGCTTCTCTTGAACAGCACAGCTCTTTTCTTCTGTCAGCTTTGTAATGTTAGATTTAACCTACAGGAGAATTTCAAACAAGTCAATGCTGAAGGAGTTTCAATAAAGCCAGTAATTATTGAATTGAATACTCTTAAGTATAGCCGCAAGTATAGGATGATCATGTTCACAGTCCCAACAAAGCCATCTACATAAACTTAAACAATTGCACGAAGAGTCTGACCTGAATCAGCTCTGAATCTAATGTGATTAGCTTTGATTTCAATTCCTCAACATCTCTGGAAAATTTCAGTTTTGTTCCATCAACAACGTCCAAAGGTCTATATTCCACATCCCTATCACAAATAAGCTTCCCCGTTTTAGTAGGCAGTAGGACATTTTCCTCAACTTTTGCTGAAGTCAGTACCTCTGCATCCATTACAAGTTTTTCACTCTCAAATTTCTCATCCAGCTGTCATATCACAAAAACAGGCCTAGTTACAGCAGTGCATCATAAGGGGAAAAAATCGTGCTATGAACCTTTAATTTACCCTAAATAGATAATCACACTAGAAGACATCTCTAAACCTCAATTCTCAAAGTTGCAAATGTCAAGATCTTGACAAAGCACAATTGACAATTATTGCATGTTACAATTTCAGTTTGTACAGATAGACAGTAAAACCCCCTTGGTTATGCGGATGTAGAAGGGGCATGAAAATAGATACTTAACCTGACATACTTATAACAAGTCATATGTAAATGGAAATACCTGATTATCATATGTAACAAGTCATATGTATTTTTGTGACAAATATAGTCTGTTGCACTGGGGAAAAAAACCTGATTATCATTACCCAAGCAAAGGCTGTCAAGAAACAATAAATATTCTTACCATTTGAAGCGGGGGAAGATTTTCAACCCGAGTCAGCAGTTTTTCTTCTGATATTTCACTTGCAGGAGATTGTTCTAGCTTGGAAGCTCCATTAACGGGTGACAGAACAGGGGATTGTGTGGGGCTAGTCAGCGAAACCTTCAGCTTGCACTCTTCAACATATTTTCCACTATCTTTTGCAAACTACAAGAGGGAAATAATAAGAAAAACAATCACTGAAAAGAATCTGATTCAAGCTGCAAGCACTTACCAAGTCAGGTGTAATATCCTCTTCAGTTGTGCCAAATGGAGCAACTGTGCTCTGAACTAAAAACTTGTCCTTGCATTGCATGTCTGAGGGAGCTGACTTCTGTGCTTGCATTGTGACTGCATAACAGAAGTTTGAGATTAACCAGAGAACATCGTCAAAATAAAAGAAATAGAGTACACAACTTGAAAAGAATGTTACATGTATGACCATATATATAAACATGAACAAAAATAGATGTCAGCCATGTACATATAATATACATATACCTGTGAAATCATATGTTGATTTTGGCTTGATAACCCCTATATTAGGTCGCACACAATATTTCTTGGGCGAAGTAGTCTTTACCTGCAAAAAAATTACATGGTCATTAAATAGATCTCTGTTCCTAATTTGTGTGCATAGATTTCCATTTTTCTGGCAATTGAAGTACAGTCCGGTTCTTACTTTTCCGAAATTTTTAGTTCTCCAAAAAATAACGACTAAACATCAGTAAAAATTCATCCAACTAAAATAAACTTAATCCTTTTTACTCAAAGATGCTACTGATTACAAGAAATGTGGGGCAGAACTTTCCAAGTAAGAAAAGGTTTTTCACAAGCAATGAAGTACTCCACCTTGAAAGCAACATAATGATCAGAAAGATTGGCAAGGTGAACAGCACACGAACTTTGTTTCTTAACCTCAACTGAGAAGCAAAAAGGATATAAGATGTCAAATCAAAATCACATGCCAGGACCACAAGAATGGAGAGAGGGAGAGAGGGAGGAGAGAGAGAGAGCAGCAAAATTAAAGAATTGCATATTGTAAAACAGACATCCAATCTTTTGACTGTGCAAAGTGTGCCTAAAATACACTATAAGTATGTTGGCCGCTTGTAAGCATCAGAACTCATGTTGCAGTAGTAAAAGTCAAAAATGCCTTTAGGCAGCACAAGAATGTTAGTGTTCTGACAACGTCTAGAAAGTCCTCTCTAAACCAAAAGAAGAAAAACCACTACTATAGTACTACAAACTTTCAATAGTAAAACAAGAAGAGGTATAGCATTCTGTACAATGCTAGGACTGGAGATTTCTAACTAGTAAGTATTAACCAGTCATTCAAACTTAACCACATCATGATATTATAAAACACAGCTACTTAACATTTGGATTACGTTGTTGAGCAAACTTTATTGTGCATCAAACATCACAAGCTAGTTCCATAAAGGAAAAAAATGATGAAATGATTAAAGTGGAAATTTGTGATGCACAAAAAAAAGAAATTATGTCTGGGAACATGCTGCATCCAAGATGATCTGATGAAAGCAAAGCAGGTAAAACAATCAGTACAGTACTTTTCAATCTACTTAAGAGAGTACACAGACAAGAACTACACAGAAGTTAGACGAGAAACCTCTAAATTTTTGTAGACAACAATGATTTGCTTAAGAATCAGGGGTGTAAAAGAGAATGATAAACTTTGACAGTAAATTATTAGGTGGGTGACTTTTATGCTAACAAACCATATGCCTCACAGGACACAAAAAAAAGTGCGGAGAATAAATGTAGCTCCTGCTCATGAGGGAAACATTTCAAAGTATGATGACTACGCACGTATAAACTTGAGTTCTCGAGGCTGAACATCCAATAGCTGCTTCTTAACTACAGGGTTTTGAACTTCCAGTTGCTCCATGATCAAAGTTCTTTATTACCTGCAACAGTGATGAATTAAGAATTGCCCAATCTGCACGCATTTAGAAGAGTTCCTGAAGAAGAGTATGGGGGAAAAAAACAGTTGAACTTAGACACTAGTTGGTTTTTTTTAACTGTCAAAATCACAAAAGCAAACTAAAAAGGGCAATAAAATGAATCCCACTGAACATGGTAGCATAATTTTATTTCTGCAGAAAACTTCCACCACATCATAAATGTGGGTCATGATCAACCTTAAAATGAAGTTGCACCCTCATATAGTACTACTCTGCCTTGTAAAAGCCTGAGTGCTTCTCAAACCCATAAATTCCAACATATCTCTAACTAAATGTGATCTTACACCCGATCATTTAGTTCAGTTAGAATAATAAACCTATATTCCCTCCCCTAAAGCCCTTTTATCACATTACTCCACAGAAACAAGGGCCAACCTAAACCTGACCACGCAGCCATTTGCCAAGAAATCCCATGTCCAAGCCAAGATCATTGCTTTTGCTTGTATTCTCCATTACATATACACATACATACATACATATGTAACGTACATACATACATACATACGTATGTATATGTGTATATATTCCAAACTAGTCTCAAGTATAAGCATTGTAAAATATGATATTACATTATATCCCAAAATATTACTAATTAAGTTATCCCAGGGAAAAAAATGGAAATTAGAGGAACCAGAGATTGGATAAAGCCCAGCGGATAAGAGCCTCCCCCCCCCCCTCCTTCCTTCCTCCGGGGCTCCTTGGCGGTCTTAAAACGAGTTGACAATTTAATACTGTGGATTAACCCCATCTCCTTCCCCCCTCTGTACTTTTCCCCACATATTCCATCTCACCCCTCCCCTCATACAAAATCTTTGAAAAAATTGATTCAAAAAAAGAAAAGATTAAATTAAGGAATAAGAGTATGTTCACTTGAGTGAGTGAATGTGGCATTTTTAGGTACTCCCAACAATACCTGATCAGATTTTAGCTACTCCATAATGAAGTATCCTAAGGAATCAACAAATCAGAGGGGTTAACTTCAAATTTAAGCCAACGATCAGTAACCAACTTCAGATATAAACAAGAAACAAATTAGAGATAAAGAAATCAACAAACCAAAATAAAGAAATCAGAACCAATTCTTAACAGTGACCTGCTAAAAATCAGGAGAAACAATGTAAAAAGAAAAAGGGCAATAACCCACAAAAGGTTACATTGTAACGTGGATATAAAATGGATAAATGGGCTTACTTGGAAAGTGAATAATGTAAAGCAGATGTTGAGGGATGGACAGATTCAAATGTTAAAATAGAGTCGAATGAACAAGAAGAGTGAAATTTTGGTAGGAGAGAATATTGGTGGCAATTAGCTGAGAGAATGTGGAAAGGGAATTGGGGAGGAGGGGCGTTTGGTGATCTGAAAAACGCGAAAAAACGGTTGCTTGATTTTGAAGAGGAAGAAGCAGAGCAGAGCGGTGAGGTAAGTGGAAGTGGGATTCGGTGACAGGGACGAGAAATTGGGAGGAGCGGTTGCATCTGTTTTTGAGTTTTTTGGCGTTACTGCGGCTTTTCTATCTTATTTTAAAAAGGGAAGAAAAATCTTTGGATCCGTGGTGGTTTTTTTTTTTTTTTTTTTTCTAAGATAAGTGACTGGTTTATGTCAAACTAATTAATTCCATGTATTTTACGAAGAATTTGAAATTCTTTTAAATTCATCTAGTTGTTTACATTATTTATTATTTATGGGGTATTTAAATTTATAAATTATCAATTATTTTAGGACTTAAAAAATATTTTGATAGTTGATATATTACAAATTCAAATGCTTGTTAAGCAATCAAAACAATTAAAGCGATTTAAATGGATTTAAAATTTTGAAATCTTTCGTCAAATTTTTCAATCCAAACGAAACCTATTATAGGAATTTGGAATTCCTAATAATATACTATAGTTCATAGTTCATACTCAACAAGTCTGCAAAAAAAAGATAGATAAATTAAGGAGGTGTTTGATTCATTATTATGGAATTGGAGGCCTAAACCTCATTCTAGATGTGTGATTTAGACATTTTATATTTCTATCTGGTTTGGAACTAGATTGGGTTTCATTTTTTAATGGGTTCATAAATTTGAAATCAATTCATAAGTTGAGAATAGGTTGATTGTAACACTTTCATTCGTATTGAATGATTCCCATAGTGGTATATATCAAACAAGAAGATCATGTGTCTGTATTGTTTAAAAACATAGACATCATAGAAAATTTTGCATTTCCTCGAAGAAAAGATTTGATGGAATGGTTGATTGTCAAACAGGCACATTATTATGATTTGGAAATTTGTTAACATGGTTTCTCGAAAAAGAAGAGTTTTTCTAGAATTTGGAGGTATTGGGAAAATTTATAGACAAAAAAAAAGGGGGGGGGGGGGGAAGAAGATTTCCTTTGTACGTTTTGAAGTCCTTAATGTGGAAAGTTTTATTTGCATTTTCTCACAACTTCTCGTGAATAAGTTACTTAATAAACAGCCTAACTAATATGGCACTTCTTTAATCACATTTTTCATTTTCATTCGATTGAAATGTGAGGAGGAGAAAAAGTGAGTACATTGATTGAAGTAGGCATGAAACCAATGAAGTTTGGTGGGAAGGCATGTGGTTGTTCTTTCCCTTTCAAGAATTGCATCACGTCAAATAATAAAAGTAAAGGAAAAGGAAAGTTAGGAAAATACTACTGGTATTTGTACAACTCTACATGTTTACTGATGTTTCACCAAAAAAAAAAAAAAAAAAATATTTTCATGATATTGTATGCAAATCATTAGTGGGCTCCTTTGGATAGAAGATTATTTGGAAAAAATTATCTAAAATAATAATGTGACACTTTTTGTAATGTAATATGTTTGAGATAAAAATTATGTTTATGATGTAAACAGGACAAATTTTTTTTTTTTTTTTGCAAATTTGGATAACCAAACAAACCCATGCATGGTAGTTCATACTAATTCTAGAACCAAATGAAAAACCCTTTACGCCCGTGCAGGGTTGGTCTGCTGGTGGAAGTAGCCTCCTTAGATGAGTTTCACCTGGGTTCGATTCCGGGCAGCAACCCAACTGTTATCTTCTTCAGCATCGGTCAGGCCCGCTCTGCTGGAGCGCTGTGGGATTAGTCGGGTGTAGACCCGGATACCCACAGTGATGACTAAAAAAAAAAAAAGGATATACGTGTGATTGAAAAATGTGTTTATGAAAAACGTAATAATTATTTTTGAAAATGAGAAAAATGCAATTTTGGTACCTAAACTTTGACGCACGAGCGGTTTTAGTCCCTAAATTTTGGACGAAAACAAATTTGGTACCCGAACTTTCAAATTTTGAGCACATTAAGTACCCTTGACGATTTTTTCCCAAATTGTTACCGGAAAAAGCCATGTGACTGTCACGTGTCCGGCCAAAATGGAATAAAAAAAGGTCAAAAATGCAGTTTTGGTACCTAAATTTTGACGCACGAGCGGTTTTAGTCCCCAAATTTTGGACGAAAACAAATTTGGTACCCGAACTTTCAAATTTTGAGCACATTAAGTACCATTGACATTTTTTTCCCAAATTATTATCGAAAAAAGCCATATGACAGTCACGTGTCCGGCCACAATTGTATAAAAAAAGGCCCAAAAAATATCAAATGCCATTCTAATACTAAGTATTAAATTTAAGGACTAATAGCGTAATAAAGAAAAAATCAAAGGACTAAATAACATCACATGAGTCAACAAAACCCAAGAACCGATACAAATGAGCTCCAATTCCAGACAAATTTTGTGACTTGATTCTTAGATTAATGTACTGGAATTGGAGCTCATTTGTATCGGTTCTTGGGTTTTGTTGACTCATGTGATGTTATTTAGTCCTTGGATTTTTTCTTTATCAGGCTATTAGTCCTTAAATTTAATACTTAGTATTATAATGGCATTTGACATTTTTTGGCCTTTTTTTATACAATTGTGGCCGGACACGTGACTGTCATATGGCTTTTTTTGGTAACAATTTGGGAAAAAATAGTCAAGGGTACTTAATGTGCTCAAAATTTGAAAGTTTGGGTATCAAATTTGTTTTCATCCAAAATTTGGGGACTAAAACCGCTAGTACGTCAAAGTTTAGGTACCAAAACTGCATTTTTTGCCTTTTTTAATTCCATTTTGGCCGGACACGTGACAGTCACATGGTTTTTTCCGGTAACAATTTGGGAAAAAATCGTCAAGGGTACTTAATGTGTTCAAAATTGAAAGTTCGGGTACCAAATTTGTTTTCGTCCAAAATTTGGAGACTAAAACCGCTCGTGCGTCAAAGTTTAGGTATCAAAACTGCATTTTTCTCTTTGAAAATTTACTGTCCAAATAAGGCCACGTTGTAACACACCGTCGGATTGTCAGACAGGCTTCACGGACCGGCATCACAGCTGCAGCTACACGTGCCTGGAGACTTCTGACCAACTTGCTCGTCCTTGTTTGCTGCCAAACAAGTCCGCAACGCAGGAAAATAGCCAAACAGGGGATGGGTTTGGCAGTATGAATCACCTCGATTCCTATAGTTTTCCCCCATTTATTGAAGAAAATGAATACTACTTCTCCTGATTTTAAATTCCTGATACAGTTATTTAGGTGCTCAAATTCTTGATTACTCAAACGCACCCTCAAGCGGGATTTTGGTGGTCAAAATGTAATACAACTACTTATATCAGGTAGATTATCAAGTTTTTAAATTTATAAAGAAATATAAAAAACTAAAATAGTTTCAAAAAATATGATGATATTTAGATACTGAATATATTTATTTAATTTTGCGTAGACCTAATCAATATTGGCGCATAACATGAACAATGTATTTTCTTTATCTTAATTTTCATTTCTTTTACAGACAAAGCATGTGTTAGGTGTGCAATTAATTCATCATTTTCCTTAAATAAAGTTTACAATTACATAAGGTATTTCAGTGACATGATCTGTTCCATGGTATTTAGAATTGTCAAGGCAAAAATGTCTTGTAAGTTTAGCTAAGAGAAAAATATCATTAGAAGAAGAAGACGTGCTTTTGTTTTTGATTAAAACAAAAGACAAAAAGGGAAGAATGAGTAATAGTTATCTCAACATGTGTTAGGAAGTCAATAAAGTCATGTTGCATGTCGAAAAAAAAAATCAAATTTTTTACTTTCTCAAATTAACCGTACTTTTTTTTTTTTTTAACTCTAATCATATGAAACACAAGGAGCAATTTTTATAAATTAAGCATTGAATTCAAATGTAAAATTTTTATAGATGAAATATAGTGAACATTTGTAGAGGAAATATAGTTAAAATAAGAATGAAAAAGTTGTATCTCACCTCAAATATATATATATATATATATATATTTCATTAACCTCATACCATTTAGCTAGAACTTGATACAACATATTGAGTGTATTTTGATGGAAGTATTTGAAAATTTTTTAGAAATAATTATTATTAAACTATCTGTGATGTGATATATATGAAATAAAAAATGATTAAAAATAAAAATTTGATTGTAAAACATGTTTGTGATGCAAGTAAAAGTTTTTTTTTTTAAAATAATGAATTTGTTTAGATAGGTGATTATTTATAAAAAAAATTAATTTTATCATAAACACGTTTCAAATACATTCTTATCTTTTGAATTGCCTTTTATCAAATCACAAAAAAGTGTTATATCAAAATTTGTTCCAAATAATCTAATTTTTTTTGTGAATAGAATAATCTGATGTTCAGATACACCCCTTTTTTTTAAAAAAAAAATTGTTTGTTTTTTTGTTTAAACCCATAGTACAAAGTTCAAATTATGCCCCAACCCCAAGGGCCCAAATTCCCATCTAGGCCTCCCATGGATTCCGAATCTGTCCAATGTCCCCGCGTCCAAACAGACCATCTTCGATACAAACCAAGTAGCACAGTACCAAAAACCAAACCATAAGGGTTCTCTATATATTTGTTCTTTCACGGACTCCTCCGTGCTCAAAGTAAACTCCACACGCTCTTCGTGCTCTCCGCCACTTCGTTCCCTTCCCAATTTTCCTTCCTTCTCTTCCTCTCCTCAGATCCATTTTTCTCTCTTGATCCAGCCATGGCCTCAATTACAGGATCCTTCACCTCCCTCTCCTGCTCACTCATGCCTAACCAGGTAAATTCAATCTTTCTTGATCTTCATTTTCTCTGCTCCTTACTTTTTGGGATTTGTTTTCAAGCATAGAACATTAAAGAAATTGTTGATCTGTCTATTCTGAGTGTTTTGATTTCTGTTTTCTGGTTAATTTAGATTCATCAAGCAAATGGGTTGCAAGTGTTTTCTGATTCAATCATGGATTTTGTTATTTTTGTTGAATTTTCAGCATGGGTGCTGTTCTGATATTAGGTTAATTTTTAGTCGTAAGGGATAAAATTTGGATCCTTTTCACTTTTTTCTGGCTCGTTTCTGGGATTTGCAGATTACTCTATGATTAAACTATTCTTAGGCCTCTAAGTTTTGGATGCATGGAGCTATCTATGAATTGATTTATAATCTGATTGATGTCTATGGGACTCATATAGGAAATAAAGCAGAGATCTTTGGCTATTGCTCAGATTGATTCTTGGTCCGAGCCAGGTTGCATTGATTCTTTTGGTGTTTGATTCATGCAGGCAGTCAACAGGGTCTCTAAATTGGGCTCGGTGTCGCTCTCTATCAGTGGGAAAAGTTTCCCTTCTCTACGGGTGCAGCCAGCTCGCTTCCGTGTGTCCTGCGCAGTATGTTCTGGTCCTTGCCATTCTTTTTTGCCTTAATTGACTCATTGTTTTCTTTGATTTAAAATCCATTAGCTATTTCTTCTAAAAGATTCAATTAGTCTAATGCCATTACCTTTAGAAGGGAAAAGCATTCGTGATGAGTAAGTTTATTGTGGGCAGTTGTGTCTAGTTAGATTGCAGTGCTGAACCTGATTGTGTTTGAGTTCCATGGTATACCTTTCTGCTTTCATTACCTAATGTGGTAGAGTAACTTTAGACCAGGAAAGAATGTTACCCGGGCATGTGATTCTGATTTCTTTTGCAATTATAATAAGTTGGTTTATTGTGCTCAAGTTTTTTCTCCCCTTTTGGGCTTAACTTTAGATAAACCATGTGCTTGTTATTTGTAGCCTTTTAGAATTTAAGGCTGTTTAACGTTCTTGCTTTTTATGGTTTAAAAAGTTGTTTTTTGGAAGAATTCTGGATTTGCTTGAGATTGGAAAAGTGCCTGAAAATATTATAGGTCGTGTGTTTCATCATCTGTGGTACATGTAGGGATACATGCGTCCAGTATTTGTCAATTATGCAGTATTATTTGTCATTATTCAAGGCTGCCTTCTACTTGAGCAGGCCAAACCAGAGACAGTGGACAAAGTATGTAAGATTGTGAGGAAGCAGCTGGCTCTTCCTGATGAATCTGAAGTTGCTGGACATTCAAAATTTGCATCTTTGGGTGCTGATTCTCTTGACACTGTAAGTTGTTCTTTGCTGGGGCAAATTTTTGTGATGTCATCTTTCACATTTTCACACAAGTTTATATGCTATTATGTCTTTCTAGGAGTGTGCATAGCTAAAGGTTTTTTGATCTTTTCTGGTATAACTCTTTGTTTTTTCCCTTTTGTAATTTCTTCTCAATAATAGCGTATCACATGTGATAGTTTGCTGTCACTTACCTGCTAGTTGCTGCATTCTGCTGTAATGACCACATTGGTTAGAAATAAACAAGCAAACTATTTTTCACATGCTTTTCTTGCACCTTTATACCAATAAATCCCTAGTTTTCCAAACATTCTTGCTCTCTTGGTTGCCTTGGCAAAGCTCTGCTTGCAAAAAACATAGTTGCTATCATGTATTGGTAGATGCAGTGAGGTATTGAGGGGGGAAATTGGAACTTTTTTGTCCTGGGTTTTGAAAATACAGCAAATGCTGCCAGAGCTTGTCTTCTATATTTCACAGTCCCCAAGTTGATTCCCTCTCATGCTACAATTGCAGTTTCTTTAGCCCATAAAGACCTTATTTTGCAGATTCCTAGGTCATTTCTACTTCTTTCTTTTTCCCCTAGATGATTTGATTGGAGTTGATTGAAGTGCCAGGAGAACGTAAAAGTTCTTTGTTTAAAAAGTAGGTAGTATGATTTGTCAGATTATTTTTCTTTTTTGTGGGACTTATTTGTTCTATCCACTTGGAGAATGATGGCGACATTTTATTTGGCTGATTTTCATTTCCCTTATTTTTAACTGAATGGGACTTTGCCTTATTTTATAGGTTGAGATTGTCATGGGGCTTGAGGAGGAGTTCGGCATTAGTGTGGAAGAAGAAAGTGCTCAGAACATTGCGACTGTTCAAGATGCCGCTGATCTGATTGAGAAGCTTATCGAGAACAAGGGTGCTTAAATTTTTGAGCTGCAAATTGCACAAATAGGTTTTGATGTAGGATTGGCATTGTAGTTGCATCTTCGTAAAATCTTTATTGTCACCTTCACCTGGTTTTATGAAGAGCCATGCGTAGCTTCTTGGAACAAACTTTATCTGGGTGTTGTTTAGGCTTATTTATTTCTTCCAAAAGGAAACTGCATTGCCTTTTCCTTTTTCAGACTCTCATTATAATTGGGAATCCACTCCATAAGATGTATTTTTGTTTCGGAAATTATATGTGGCAAAAGTTCTTGGATTTTGTAGTTTGACATTATCATGATTTTTGGGTGATGACCCCCAGTACGAATGTCCTGATTAGAGTAGAGGTATATAGGGCCTGAGGCTTAATCTGAATATTCCCTGCCGTGAAATTTGGGTTTAGTCTCACTACTTACAGGGGTTTGCTTGTTCATTTTTTTGAGCTGTTTTCATCAGGATTTCTTCCTCATTTCAGCCTTAATGCAACAACGATGATGACTTGCAGACTTTAAAATGTCCATTTAACATGGATTTTGTAGTACTGGTGCTGACTGCTGAGTGCCCTTTTTGCGTTGACATTTGATAAACGAGAAATAATCAGCTTAGCGTCCGATAGATAAACCTCCAAAGTCTGGGTCAACTGCGGAAATGGTTCGTCAATGTTATAACAATTATTGTTTTGCCCAACAAAACGTGTTTACGCACAAAGTATAACATAATGTTAGTTTTCCGTGGCATCCCCTTAGGATTTGTTCTTCGGAACTCTAGCAAGCGTCTTCCTTGATGGAAATCTGGTAGGCGAGCATAGGATTCCTTGAGTATCCTTGGGACAAGTGATGTTGCAGAATGCCCATCTCTTTTGCAGAGTGGTTGGCTTCTATGCTTCAAGATCTAGTGAAAAGGAAAGAATTTAAGCACGCAAAGAAAGCAGTAAAAAAGAACAAAGGGGCGCAGGAATTCATTGAATCCTCGAGTGTAACCCCAGGTAGCAGTCGATATGCACTGATTTATGTTGTTAAAACTTGATATTGAGAACTTTTAAGATGGAAATTTTGCCAATCTACTTGGGACAAAACCTGTCGCAGTTGAGCATATAAACTATAACACAGACTCAAAATTATGTCTAAACTCTCATTACATTTGTAGTTTGTGAAGAAATTGGCTTACAGATTTCCTCGCAAACTTTTTATTGCCTTTTGTCCAGGGTCTTTGACTTTTCCTTTTGTTTTGCACCTTTATTTACCTTTTCTGAATGAGTTCCTTTATGCTTAAGGGCCACCTGAACTTCGTACACTACTCAAAAGCCTGAACTGTGGCACTGAATGTGCCCCATTAGCACTAATCACTTAATTTGTAGGATAAAGCAAAGCTAGTGACACACACACACTTACTCCACTCACAGACTTGAAAGAGTAGTATTTTATGTAAACAGGAGCAGTCTTTGTGTTCACAAGTTGGCTGCTTTACATGTGCAGCCTCACCTTTTTAATCATCTCCAGCTACCTCTACCAACATAGGACAAATTAGTTGCTGGAAAGAAGCTTCAGGAATCAGGCCTTAATTTAAATCTGATGTTTGAACAGTAATTGCATTGTTTAGTCCATAATTATGAACCCATCTCTAAATCTTACACCAATCTGCACAAGACACTAGACTCTCCCAACCTTGTTATTAGTCGTTTTTCTGGGTTTCATCTTGGAAGACCTGAAGTATTATGGCTAAAAATTGTGGTGCAACCGTGCAAGTGCCCCCAACAAATTCTGAAGTCAGCTACAAAACTTGATCAGCCAACTTTTGCTAAACTGATTTATCCTTTGGCATTTGTACCAATCAATATTAGCTAAGTTTAATGAAAAATGCTAGCGAACAATTATCCCAGGTTATACAATCACTGAAAGTCAGCTAACAACTATGCATTCAAACAATACAGTTTAATATGCTAGGATTGAATACCATTCATTACATCATATATCTTCTGTAAAGAATATGGACACTTCTGTGAACTCAGCTAGATGTAAAGAAACTATGAACCAAGTTATGCCAACAGATGGTATATTAATCGCATGTTTGGTACCTCACAGAGCAAGAGCCTGCACTACCAGAAAGGATATGAAACTAAACAACTTCAGAAGTTCTGCAGACTCTGCTAGACTGAGATTCACTGCTGAAGAAAATGGCAAGGACCCTGCTGGTGCAAATGCAGGATCAGGGCCAACTGATGAAACTCCATCCGGATTAGGAGGGCTTGGATTCGAGGGAATCGTCGTTGTGGTAGATCCAGGAGAAGGTAAGAGAGGAGCAATATCTGGTGATATTTCTGTGTTCGGGGACAGTGGAGGATCAGGCAATATTGTAGGCGCAGCAGAAATGGTGGGAGTATTCTTCAGCGGAGAAGTGGAAGATAAAGAAAGTGATGGTGAAACTAGTAAAGCAGCAATGAGTGCCACTAGAAAGCAAAAGGTGGCCATTCTTTCTTTCTAATGATGATGGACTCAGTATCTCCACTTCCTGGAGACTGCAGTGACTGGAGGAGTCCAAGGACAAGAGGGAATTGTGGGGAAAATGAGTATATATGATGGATGCCATGATTATTATAATTTTGGGATCATGACCAATGATCAATGTGGGCTCATTTAGGATTTCTGTATGATCTACAGGTTGGCATGTTTGACGACAGAGTAGTATAATAGGCAGGAGCGGTTAATTTGGAGTTTAAAGGAATAGTACAACATTAGAAGAACAATTGTCAAACTCACTGCACCAGTTGGACCCTGCAAGTTGCTTTGTGTTTTTGACTTTTGTTAGTTACTAGTTTCTCAATTCTCATATTTCAAATAATTCCATACCAAAATATTTTGTAGCTGAAACAATTTGCATTTGAAGAACTTTTTATAAAAAAAAAAAAAAAATCAAACGTTAGTTTCAAAAATCTTATTTTCTAGCGTCAAAAGAAGCATCTAATAGTCCCAAAAATTTTTAACTTTCTTTTTTATTCCAACTCCAACTCTCTCCATTCAACAAAAAATTTGAAAAGCCAAAAGCATAAATAGCAAATGTATGCCGACAAGTTTTACAGAAGCTGCCATACGCACTTGCAAATAGATTACATAGTGGAACAAGCATTTGGGTTTTCATCACTGAACATGGTATAAATCTCACTATCCCAACAGGGGTCGAGCACCAAAGGTTGTTGTATCTGTAATTGCTCTGAGGTTTCTTGTAATGCTGAATCTCCATCTTCTTTGTCTGAATGTGTGTCATCACCTTCTTCGTTGATCAAAATTTCCACTCTCTTTCCAGTTTTCTTCTTAATTTTCTGCACAACTTTTTCAGGAATGATTCTACCTTTCACTACCACTCTTTGCCTTGGCATGTCCGTCATAAACGTCTCAACCCCTACATTTTGTGGTTTTTGCAATATACCAAGGCGAAACAGAAAGAAATTTATGAGCGCTCTAAAATCGTTGCCATGAAACAGACGTACAAATTTACATTACAGAAGCAAATTCAGGGTTTAAGAATTCGTAGGATGAAATTTGTGCGTAGGAAGTTATTCGGGGGGGGGGGGGGGGGCTTCCTCTAGTCTAATCTTGATTACTTTTTTGTGGGGCAAAACTTATTTTTATTCAGGATGCATTTCAAAGAATTATCTGATCAAGGAAATTAAACGAAAAGATGAATATCCAAATCTTTTGTAAAGATGTTCCAGATTTTGAGGATGGTTGCTCTGCCTCCTGCCTAAAGATCTATTTACGTTAACACGATTAGACGTGCATGTATTGATTCAAGAAATATACAACCTTCGAGATCAATGCATGCAAAAATCTTGTGAATGAAGAATGAACAGTGAAAACATAAGCCCGAGAAAGGAAGAAATTAACCTTTGATTTTGGAAATGGCTTCTGCAACACTTCTTTCGCATGCATTGCAATGCATTGAAACTTTATATTCTACCACCACAACCTGTTTAGTTAACCAATCAAAAGCAATCAATTTTAATTTCGAACCACAACAGTTGAGATCATGCAGCTAATTATGTATCAACTCGTGATTAATATACTGTCTTACTTTGTCATCTTCGTCTTTGTTCTTTCCTTTTGTCATCTTCGTCTTTGTTCTTTCCTTTGGCCATGAAGTAGGGAGTATATGAAAAGGAAATAGTAGGAGATGAAGTCAACAAATTTGGAAGACAATTGACAACTAACAAGAGAGGGTTAGTTTCGCTTAGTTGTTTTTTTTTTTTTACAGCCAATTAGGAGTCTCCCGCTAAGATTGGGCCCGAATTAAGTACTAACACAAATTTATTGGCAACACAAGAATGCAATGCATTTAGAAAATCAAGTATGAAAAAGCTAAAGAACAAAAATGACAGAGGTCAAAAAACCAAAAAATGAACAAATATGTTAGACAGGTAGCATAATTGTAGCAAATGTCAAGATGATCAGTACAAAAACGATGATAAATCTCAAAGTCCAGCTGTGGAAGACTTGAGAATGTTCATAGGAAAATATTTGCTTTCCCTTAACCTATAAAAGTTAGCCAATTTCTTTAGGAAAAATGCTGATAAATTAAGAAATTAGTCAAGTCTCATTAGTTATATAGTCACAAATGAGGAAATTGATTTGAGGTAAATCTTTGCAGTAAATCAAACAAGGTCAAAGTTTAAGAAAATCAATTTATTCATCATCAGCGCAGTTTAAACAATTGAAACACAATTATCAGTAACGATACAATGTCAAGAAAGAGAAACCCAAAAAAAAAAAAAAGAAATTCAAGAGAGATGATCAGACTACTTAGTCAATTGACATCTCAGCACGCTTCCTCAACAAATCAAAAATTTTCTTCATGCTAAAGGATTAATAACGCGGCAATTTTTCCTAATTTCTCCGGCGGTTCCAGTCAGCACTTCAACGTTTCCCATGTTCACCATTGATCTTCCGAACTCAAAGAAGAAATTTCTTGGAAATTGCAGCCGATTCACGATTGCAGCTGAACCGGCATTTGTTAGAAGTGCAGCATCAGATTGGAATAGGCCCTTCTTTTGGTTGAGAATGGTGAAATAATGAGTATCAAATGAACGAGAGCTCTGAGGATCCATTTCCACAGTTGTTGCGGGGTTGGCCGGGTTGGGGCATTGTTGCTTCAAAGTTTCAGCGTAGGTTGCATCAAGACTTGGATCCATATCACCTTTGCCAGTGAAATTGAAAAGCCTTCTCGAGAAAGCTCCACAGTGGGCTACTCCAATGGTGTGTGCACCTATTTCAACAAAAATTTAATATATGAATAAGTAACAATATTTTTGCATGAAATTTTGAATTCATAGGATAACCACATTTTTCCATTGCATTCATGTTATCTCGGGGATTATTTGGTGTTCTGTTTGTCAGAACAAGAACACTAGTGAATTATGTAGGTAGTATGTTATGATTAATCTTAATTAATTTTGTAGTGCAGATGATTTTACCTGATAGTGCCACGAGATCATTAACGTTGAGATTTTTCTTGGCAAACCACTGTTGAAGGGTAGGAAAGTCTGAGAATGGAGAAGGCAAGTTTCCATTGACATCAGATATAAGAGACACCCTGCTGTCTCTTCTTCCTGTTGGCACTTCCCACAAATTCCGTCCAAACTGCGCGCAAGATATAACATGAGTGATATTAACTAGATTGCAAGTCATCTCTAAAGTTCTTTTTGCTTGGTTTTTCATGCGGTGCTGGCTGGTTCTGAATCTTTCCTACAGGCCAGCTACGGTGTATGATTGTATACTTGCATGGGCATTAATAACAGACATAAACTGCAATTATATCTACTTCTCCTATATATGTATATATATGTATACATATCACTATAGCGGTAACACTTACAGGAAAGGAAAGTAGGAAACAGCGTCACGAGCAGCCAATGCAAGAATATCTGCGCATGATACAATACCCGGGCAAGCTTTTTCCACTTGTGCCTTGATATCATCAATTGCTTCAAAGCCTCCTAGTGTTTGATTAGGTCTTGCATCCTTCTCTGATTGATTAGTTCCAACGGTGTCCAGGAGTATAGAGGCATCGCATCCCTGAAATTTTAGTGGGTTCAACTTAATTTAGCAAGATATATAAGCAATGCCAAAGCAGCCCACCTCAAAAATGAATGCATGGCTGTCCTTACTGTTTCTACATGCATGAAAAAAGATGTTCACTAATTCAACCGAGAACAAAATGATGAGTCATGATATGCATGCATTGCATGCAGGCCTGAAAATAGTGGCCTTACCTTAACAAAGCAGTCATGGTAGTGCACCCTAAGCAATTTAGGAGCCAAGGTAGGGTCACTTCGCACTTTGCTTATTGTGAGGGCTTTTACAAGCATCTCAGCTTGGGGACAGCGAGTAAACCTGTAAAAGTTAGGTCTCAATCCCCCACCACCAGGGGCACCACCTCCTGCGTTTGTAACCGTAATGGCTCCAAACACAATAATTGAGAGCAAAAGCAGAAGGCTAAACTCAGACTTCATTTTTTTTTTTGTTTGTTTGAAAAAAGAAAATCTGGCTAGTAAAATTTAAGTAGGAAAATAGAGTAATATCACAAGCAAGAAGTAGCTAGAAGACTGAAGCTGAAAGAGAAGTTTGTTGGAGAAGCACACAGAAAACCTTGTAGTGTGGCCTCCTTTTATAGGAAGTGGGAGCAATCCCATTCGAAGCAAGAGGGAAATTTCAGGAGATTATAAAAATCAACCTGTAATTTGGCCTTAGCCTAAGGGTCGTGAGAAGACTTATTTGTTGATATTTTCAAGTGGCATTCGTCTCCCAGTTTAGATAGAACTACCATACAGTGTCACTTTTCTCCTGCATGTCTGGACTTTTTCTCAATAAGTTTTTTGACTTTCTATGATAATGACAGCAAAAGTCAGCGTAGAGATCTAATGATATGGATGCAGACCAATCCCTGAGAGTTTATCCAATAATAATATACCCTGTCAATGATAGGGTAAAGTTTTGTGCTCCACCGTCAGCTTGAATTCCAAGTAAGAGGAAATAAAATTTCTGTCCCTTTCCTTTGTGTAGTGTTATAACCTCCTATACACTTTCTTGTTTACATTTTGGTGACCTCGAACTAATACGGAAACCTATTGCCTTTAAGTTTTAGTAAACTAAAAGGCCAAAAAAAGATAAAGAAAAAGGAAAGAAAGATGATTATTAGAGAGGCTAAAAACAATGAACTCCTCTCATTATAAGCTGTGATATCATCATGTCAATCACAATTATGTGCCATAACATTGATCAATTTTGCTAGTGAACTAACATTTTAGTATGCCTTAAGAGTCCTACTAATACCAAGTACCAGCCGATTAATTACTTGGAAAATTTCCAAGTTTCAGTACAAAGTTCTGTTTTCAAAATCGATGGTTAGACTACATCCAATTATGAGCACTTCTCCTTTGGACTATAGCTTCAAAAAATGGGTACAGTTTTCTTTTGATTTCTTCCTTGTAACCATTACCCTAAATAAAGGTTGTTAATACTTGTATCTTTTAGTCGCCAAAATAATGTAATATAAAAAGGATTATGTTTTCATCCACTATCAATTTAGTGAATTTATTGTACTAACACGTGTAGATGTATGTCATTTATACGTGGCATACATTTATACCAAACTCGTATGTATATATATTGATAGTGTATAAAAAAAAAATAATCATGTAAAAACTCTAATAAAAACAAAAAAAAAATGGAGATTTGTCAAGTGTAAGTAGGCAAAAAAAAAAAAAGGGAGGTTTGAAATAGTAAGTAAACCCTTTATATACAGAAAAGTCCTACGATTGCATGGGTATTGGCTGGCACGCGGCGCCACAATTTCCGGTATTCAAGTTCGAGCGCCGAGAGACGGTGTTGGCTAGTTCAAAGTTGGTAGTTTGGTTGACTTTGACATTATACTAGTCCTATCACCTATGTGTGCTCTGCATGGAATTTTGCAGCCCATTTCCTTCAAGGATTAATGGATTATTATCCTGTTTTGTGTTAGCTAAATTAAGACTTAACAGCTATCCCCAACCCATTTAAGAAGTGGCTCATGTATCATCTATCAGTCCAAGACTTTCAACTTAATTGGAATTATTTTTCAGAGTAAAATATTTCAATTCTGCTACTCTTGACCACTCATCAGTAAGAGGGCACGAAACAATCAGCAGTAAGATACATTGCGCTCATCCTTGGCATAACTTCCCTCATCAACTTGTTCATCAGGACCATCTGAATCTGCATTTCAAGCTATAGGAATATATATATATATATATATATATATATATGTATATATAGGTCCGATGTCATTTGATATATGTGAAAATTTGACAAACAAAACAGGGTTAAGTGTGACAGGAAAAAGAGAATCGATTGGCATTAGTGGAAGCTCTGATTTAGGTATGTAGGGTACCATAAGGGGTCAGATTGTTTAATGCTGTCCTATATCTAAATTCTACTACCATTTCCCAGCAACTTGTGAGGAGAATCTTCTGACTGCTGAGAGCGTTTCCCACATAACGAAGGTTTCAGGGTCAAATGCATAATGAAGAGGGAAACCAAGGAAGCAGTCCAGTTCCTCTTTAATGGCGAAGAAAGAGTTCATTTGCATGTACGGTGCCGGATAACATGGAAATTTAGATTGTTTTAGACGATCATGTGCAACCATGCATGAACTAGCTACTTCGTCGTTGATGTAATAATACCATTAACTTGGGTACATGGATGAATTATACCCCCAATAACTACTACTAGAATTTGCGTAGGCTTCAATACGTAGTTGAAAATTACTAGGATAACTACTGTTAAGCTTATTATATACAACAAAAACAAAAGAAAATGCGACTCAGTTAGATTGCTGGATTAGTTATATCGATATGTCACAAGTTTTGTGGGATTTTGTCTTCAAGAAATCTTACAAGAAAATAACTATGTTCACATTTTTTCGAAAATAATCAATAGTGCCTCCCCATTTATGCTATTGATGACTTGAACCGTGACCTATTAATTATGTTGGCATGGTTCATAAAAAATTCAAAAAAAAAAAACACACATACAAAAAAGGGTACGTTTAATTAAAGGTATGTCATAGAAATGCCAAAATTGAGGGCCGTTTTGTACGAGTTCTTATAGTCCAGCTCTACTCCACGGGCTAACATAATGTCAATTCTTATCGAATTGGATAAATTTTGTCAGTCTATCGATTAAAGAAGCGAAAAAAAAAAAGTCTCAGTCTGAAGTATATTTACTTTG